TCTCTATTCAATTCAGTGTTCAGTGTAGGAAGGTTTCTATTCAATTCAAATCAGTGTTCAGTGTAGACAGGTCTCTATTCAGCCCAGTGTTCAGTGTAGACAGGTCTCTATTCAACTCAGTGTTCAGTGTAGGAAGGTTTCTATTCAAATCAGTGTTCAGTGTAGACAGGTTTCTATACAACTCAGTGTTCAGTGTGAAGTAAGCAAAATAAAAAAATTAGACAGTACCGATATACTTACAAGAAAAAATATAAGCCCCATGATGCACCAGCACCCCAGACATTGGGTGTAGCCCCTTGATAAAGACCTAAGAACCCTCTGTCTTTGACAATTGATTTGAAAGCATGTACAATCCCAAAATAAGTCGGCCTACTTGTCAACCCATCACTTACTGAAAACAAAAAATAAATAGAATTTTATTTAGCATTAATAATGTAATGTAGGTACATATATAAAAATAAAAAATAAAAAAAAAAACCAACACAAACAAATTAACCTAACTTTTCAAGGAACTTCAACAATTTGTGAACACCCTTAACTTGATGTATGTTGTTCGTAGCTATATACCGGTATCATTTCATTGCAGGCGAGAAATTAATTATTAATGACTACAAGGTCAATCTCAAAGTGTCAATCAATCAAGTGTTTTATGACAACTTGTCAACAATCTGATGAAAATATTAGTGAATAAAACTTAATAAATCAACTTAGTCTAAAAAAATATCTTTGAATATTCATATTTGTTAATATACTTATGAAAATAAAATATAATATTAAAATCATAAATGACCTATGAATATCAAGTAAACTCACTATTTCAACATCAGTTCATGATTTAACTATTTCAACACAATCATTTTGTCCAACATTTGTATGTATTTAGAATTTTGTGGTTAATTTTATACATAATTTCCAATAAACTACAGGTTTTGGTCAAAATATTTTTTAAACATAAAAGAAGAAAACTATTAAAATTGGTGTATGAAGATTCAGAGTATTGACATTGAATTTATGTTTTGCATTATAGAATGTTTTTAACCACATGACAACCAAATTTACTGTAGAAGTAAAAATCATATTAAAAAATTGACTTTTAAAATTAAATGCCATTTTTTTGGAAAATTTTGAACAATATTACGATTCAGGTTAATACCAATACAATAAATTGAAAAATAAATGAAAAAATACTATTTTTCTAGTTCAATGACACGAAGTCAAAGCAACAAAATAAATCTGTCTGAACCTCAATATAATTTATTAGTAGACATTTTTTATTATATATTCGGAAGCGATTTTATTCTTCGAGGTCAATGACACCTCGGCCATCGAGCTCAATCACGTGTACCTCGACTTGCTGACTGTAGACAAGATAGAACAGATATCAACGATGGAGCAGTTGAGACTTGTAATTATTAAATTATAACAACCGATGAAATCCTTACCTGCAAACCGTATTTTTACTAAATCCAATGGATGCAGAGCTAACGTAGAAATAACACCGCCAGTGACACCCGCAATTAAAGGTTCATATTTGAGGTTTCCGAACAGCGACGTCGCTTTTTTCTGTACATACTCCGCCATTATTTTGGGTTCTGTGGACACAGATTCAACTCATCGCTATAGGTCAATATAGATCAGCCGTGGTACTAGTTTAACTGTAGCGTTTACGTAAATCTAATCCTACGTATGAGAACAGCCATGATGAATGTTTCAACGGACAACGTTGGTGGCGCATGTCACATTAATTTTGGTTCACGGGTTGACTCAGAAACCCTGGATCAGTGCGGGATGTTTTTTTCCGTTACTAAGTTTTAGTTAGATTTTTGTTTCAGAATAATGTTAATCGAAAATTTGATTTACATTAATCTATTAAATGCGCGTGTGTTTGTTTGTTTTTTGGATAAATATTTTTTTTTTCTAATTTTCCAAGGGATTTTTTTCAAAATTGTCTAATATTTTATCTAAAACAACTTCCCCATGCCCCGAGATGTTAGCAACACTGGCTACTTTTATTTAGATTTAAAGCAGTTGGCACAATCGTAAACCTAGTGTATATAACAAAATCAACACAATTCCCCACCAACAACTAGAAATGGATCCTTTAATTTCCACCATATCAGTGACACTGACAACACAAGGCATGCTCATAAAATGACCCGCCGTATGCCGTGTTACTCATGTCACATTGAATATAACATTTTACTAAGCATATGCATTATGTCTTTTAAGTTAGTTCTAAATAGGAGTGTTGTGAAATTCAATGTCTTTTCCAAATATCTAATAGCAAATTCTTCTTTTTCTTAAAAATGTAATTTTTTTATACATTAGTTAAACAGCAGCTGTTGACTTTTATCAACGCTCTCTTGCCTGTGTGCATAACTACTTTCAAATACCTTAATATTAATATCGTTTTCCATTTGAGATAGTTCATGCAGTATACTAAGATAGTATGTAATTTTTACAATGAGTCTGATGAAGAATTTTGTTGTTTAAACTGGAAAACCTCTTAAAGAGTGCCAAAATAAAATGTCAAAAATCGACAACTTTCTAATCTCAACACCAACACGTAATCAAATATATATAAAAGGGGAGGCATACAAATAACTCGTGCCACTCATTCCCACAGCAATTGTTAAAGGAAATGTTATAACTTTTAAGTAAAAAACATTCACACGTAAAATTGTTGACAATAATCCGTTCCGATTTGATACTATTATGGGCTAACACTTGACATTGCTCCAATACTGTAAAATGACTAATTTTCACTGGGTTTAAATTTCACTGATTTACCATTTCAGGCATATTCAGTGGGTTTTAAATTCACGGTTTCGTCATTTAGATAATGTGTTCTATGCTAAATTTTACATATTCACTGTGTTTTAATTTAGCGCATTTCTCCAGTCAGCGAAATAAGCTAAATTAAAACCCAGTGAATAATTACCCCTTTACATTATTCCTAATCCATGCACATTGAATGAAATTAAAAAACTTGTTTGAAGTAGATGACCAATCTTGATTTTTTTTGTGATACAAAGTAATATTTTGAGAAAAGTTGGCAAATAATATGCAAAACACCACTGTTGAACAAAAGTGTGGCACCATGAAAGAAACTTGTCATTGTATTATTACAAGTTTTTAGATATGGAGACCTTGACCTCAATATAGTTGTGTAATAGCAGAAAACGTATAAACATTGAAATGACTTTGACCTGAAAATCAGAACACAACACAATGTGTACTGAAAAAGACTACCTTCCAACTGTTACAGTTGTCCAATAGCAGCAAACATATAAACATTGAAATAACCTTGACCTGAAATTAAACATTTTTGAAAAGCATTTGCCCTGGTAGTTCAGAACCCAACAATACACTTGTCTATTACAGTGCATGTATTATACATAGCCCATATGTAACATATGGAAAAGTGGGAAAAAGATAGAGATATCTTCACCAAATTTGAAAGAAAAAGCAATCTAGCAGACGGTTTTGGAGAAGAAGTCAAAAATATTTGCAAAAATGAGCAAAAAACCAAAAAACACTTGCATATGGTCTCATGAAATTAGTCCGAGTCCAGTCCATGTCAAGAATATTCATGCCATATTTCAATGCAATCTAACAAGCAGTTGTTGAAAATATCATTTTTGACCAAAAATATTCCCTAATCAATCAAAGCTTAGAAAGAACTCCCGTGAGTATTGAAGACACATTAAAAATTAATTCAAAATTACTTGTACATGAGATATTGATGGAAAAGCTGAAAACTAATTATGTAAATTAGGTAACTAATATGAACAGAACAAAAAAATTATGAATTATTATGCCAATTAGAGAATTAATATGAACAAATTTAACTCAAAATTAATCAGACCTGTCTATTGTTCTAGAGCATTTATGTACCAAATTTTATTCAAAATGTGATGATCAGTAATTGAGATATCATGTGTTAATTAATTATGTTAATTAGGAGATTAATAAGCATAAATATTTACCAAAAACTAATTGGGTTTATGCATAGTTCTCTTTAAAAGTTTCATTAAAATTCAATTTGTGGTTCTTTATATATCAGTGGAACATTATGCAAATTAGGTAATTAATATCCAATTAAAACTAATCAGGTCTCTGCATAATCCTAGAAGATCTATGTAGCAAGTCTCATTGAAATATGATGATTACTACTTGATATATCAAAAGTTGAAAATTAATTAATTATGCAAATTAGGCAATTAATATGTACTCATATTACCCTAAAACTATCAGGTCTGTGCAGCGTCCTATGACATCTATGTACCAAGTGTCATTGAAATGTGATGATTACTACTTGAAATATCAAAAGCTGAAAATTAATTAATTATGCAAATTAGCTAATTAATATATACTGATATTACCCTAAAAACTATCAGGTCTGTGCAGTGTCCTATGACATCTATGTACCAAATTTCATTGAAATGTAATGATTACTACTTGAAATATCAAAAGCTGAAAATTAATTAATTATGCAAATTAGGTAATTAATATGTACTCATATTACCCTAAAAACTATCAGGTCTGTGCAGTGTCCTATGACATCTATGTACCAAGTGTCATTGAAATGTGATGATTACTATTTGAAATATCAAAAGTTGAAAATTAATTAATTATGCAAATTAACTAATTAATATATACTGATATTCCCCTAAAAACTATCAGGAGGGGAGGCAAGGGGGGTAGCTGGTACGGTTTTACGGGAAATAAAAAGGTTTTTTTACAATTTACAAGGAAAAAAAAGACATTTTTACAGTTTACAGTGTTAAAAAATGGAACATTGAATGGTCCGAAGAGCTCTCCGACTCAAATTCTCCGCCTCTACTGCGCCGTGTGTAGAGACGCATGCGCATGTTACCCTCGTAATGCTCTTCATTCGGTTAGAGGGCCTTTTACGTCTTGACAGTGAATTGTGTCATCTAGTCGTTTTAAAGTTTCTAAAATGTAATTTCCCTGGATTATTTTTTACAATTTTTTTATTTGGATGTAAATTCTTGTACGTACCGAGAAAAATGACACATTTTTACAGTGTACGAAAAAAATATTTGATTGATTGAGTTGTACGTCTAGCCTGTGATTACAGAATTACGGAATTTATTTTTTCTATTTACGTTGTACGAACAAAAAAATAGTGCAATTACGTTGAACGAAAATAACCCTTGCCCCCCCCTATCAGGTCTGTGCAGTGTCCTATGACATCTATGAAATGTGACAATTACTACCGAAATATCAAAAGCTGAAAATTTATTAATTATGCTAATTAGGTAATTAATATGTACTCGTATTACCCTAAAAACTATCAGGTCTGTGCAGTGTCCTATGACATCTATGTACCAAGTGTCATTGAAATGTGATGATTACTACTTGAAATATCAAAAGCTGAAATTTAATTAATTATGCAAATTAGCTAATTAATATATACTGATATTACCCTAAAAACTATCCGGTCTGTGCAGTGTCCTATGACATCTATGTACAAAGTTTCACTGAAATGTGACAATTACTACAGAAATATCAAAAGCTGGAAATTAATTAATTATGCTAATTAGGTAATTAATATCTACTGATATTACCCTAAAAACTATCAGGTTTGTGCAGTGTCCTATGACATCTATGTACCAAGTTTCATTGAAATGTGATGATTAGTACTTGAGATATCAGTGGAAAAGCCGAAAATTGA